CACTGTGCCAGACTGGGCCATCTGTTGCTTGAGCTGGGTGATTGTGCGCTCCAGCTTCTCCCGCGCCTCCCGCTCCCTGCGCAGCTCCTCCTGCAGCTCCTGCCGGTCCGCCTCCGCCCGTTCCAGCCTCTGACGGAGCTCTGACAACTGTGGAGACACAGACATGAAATCAGCTGAAGACTACAGCACATTAGAGGACATTCAGTCTGACATGCTACTAACGGTATATAATAAATCATGGCGTTTATTCTAGATTCACACACATTATAAGATTCTGCCCAGACTGGAAATGATGTAACAACACACAATACAAAACTCCATTAAGATTCTCTGAGATTTTTCTTAACCTTAGATAGGGCCGCTACTAACAGTTATTTTCATCTTCATCTGCAGATTATGGTCTTTATTATTTTCTTGAACATTGTTCAAGACAGCAGTAAAAGTTGGTCATCACAATTTACACATGGCAATGTCATGAAATTGTTTGTTTCATCCAATCAATAACCCAGATTAGAAGATATTCAGTTTACATTCATAGAAGACAACATAAGTCACATTCTGACATTTAAGAAGCTGTACACATAATTACTTAAATGATTATCAAAACAGCTTCAGATGTTTTCTGTTGTCATCTAACTGATTCGTCAACTAATCACTGCAGTCCTAATTATAGATTCCTGCCATCCAAAAAGAAACTTGTACAGAAAACAGACCCCAAAGTAGTTATGTAGCATAACAAACTGCAAAGCAGAGCAGAAAGGTTGTCTCCTGGTCTCAAACTACATTTTGTGACTGTCAAACTGTAGGCAGATTCTGATCGGAGAGACCCTGTCATCTGTCAGTGGCCACATTTCAGGCACAAAGTGACTTAGCCTTGTTTCCTACAGCTTACTGTCATGACAGTAAAGACGTTTATGTCACTGGCTGTCATGGATCTTGTAAAGGCAAGACTAGAAAATCACTGACAATAATCTGGCCTGATTTTTGCAACAGTTAAAAGACAAAAAAAGATGTATGAAGATACCTATGACAGGTTCTAGCACAAGCAAGATGTTGTGATTTTGCCAGTCTTTATATGTAGTGTTTGGTTTAAATTTGATTTCCAGTGGAGTATAGCACCTTAACACCTTTGGGATAAAAGTCATGTTACATTTCACTGAGCTGCACTCAGGCTGTTTCTGTTGACAGTATCTGTCCTCTGCATGCATGTGTTGCATGCTAAGCTCATACCTGTGCAGTGTAGTGGGCCTCTTGCTGGCGTTGTGCCCCTGGCTCACATGCACAGGTCTGCTGTCGGAGCTGTTCCAGACGCGCCTCCAGCTCCAGCTGTTCTTGGCGGGCCTGGCTGAGCTGCCGTGCCTGTTCACTGTGCACCACCTCCAGCTCGCTGCGAAGCTCCCGCTGCTCGGCGCTCAGCTCCCGTAGCCTCGCTGCCTCACCCCTGTGCAACGTCTCCAGCTCCTGGAAACACAGACACCAAGTCAGGGCAAATAACATTAACAACGCAATACTTCACTGACCCCTGGGGGGAAAAAACGCTTTACATTTCAGCCTCAGCACAGGACAGTCAGATGTCTGATACAAAAAGAGACTCAAATGATCACTTCTGCTGCCCCACTGCAGACAGGATCCAAATCTGTATATGTAACCTTCCGCCTTTAACACCACACAGTCAGACTGTGGATGGTTTCAAGAGTCTAATACCTTTAAATTGTGTAGCTTTTTTAAAAAGCACAATTTGCTTGCATTTCATCCTTTCTGATATTTTGTAAACAATATTTTCCAAACATATAGATCTCAATTTAGAACACAAATCGCATTAACAGGTTTATACACAAGGTATGAACATTATGCTCACCTCAGTGCAATACCATATAAATATACCTTTGTATACATCTACCTGAACAACTCCATCTAAACTGTGTATATATATATATATATATATTTCTATATTTATAAATACTTCATTTTTACTTTCCTAATGCACATTCCTTTTTCTTGTTTGCACATTCTTTTTCTTTTCTTGTTCTCTCAGTCTTATCGTGTTTACACATTGCCTTACAGAAGAGCATTGTATATGCACACTGGGAGCCGCTGTACCAGAGTCATATTCCTCGTGTGTCTAACACACCTGGCCAATAAAGCTAATTCTGGTTCTGATAATGTAGGTCAACTCTATGTTCATATGTCTAAAATGAAGTGTTTTAATAATATACAATAAGGTATATATATTAGTGAATAGCCTATATTATATAGTGATTGTGATGAAATGGGATGCTGACTTCTTTTTTAAAAAGACAGGACCATCTGATAGCTAAATGTCTCATGTGGTAGGAGAGAGAGGAGGAGTCAGTGGAAGGTGAACATCACCTCCATATCCACATCAAGGACACTTTTAATAGGCAAGGACAGTTATGGTCTCGTTTTTCTTGGGCTCATTTATCTTGGTCTTTGTTCTTTCTGAACACCAACTCACCATCTCTAGCTGCAGCTGCTTGTGCAGGGTGGAGTTGAGTTTCTCCTGCTGCCTGCTGTACATCTGCATGATCTCCACAACAATCCTGTCCTTGTCGTCCTCCAGCCCCCCCACCACCACTGCAGCGCAGCTCGTGGCAGAGCCCATGTCCTTAGCTGCTACTTCCGTTATCGGCGACAGCAACGACGCAGGAGGCGGAGGGGTGAGGGTGGGGGTGTGGATGGCTTTCTTGCAACTCGGGCTGCTTGTCTCCATGGAAACTGCCTGGGTTTGGCATTCCCGCTCAATGGTCGAAGCAGCAGTGGCGGCACGTTGGGATTTGGTCTCCTCGGCACCAGCAGCGATGGGAGGCGATGAGTGAAGATCTGAGGATGGAGGAAAAGGAGGAGTTAAAAAAAAAAAAAAAAAGAGGAGGTGGATGAAAGACAGGACGTGCCAGTAGAGCTCATGCACACTCCCCGCCTACACTTAGTAACTCCCTCGCAGAACCTCATAAAAGCTCACACCTCTTTCTCAGTGTGAGTGCATACGCAAGCACGGCATGGCAACAGCCGAGGAACCAAATGCTCGCCCACAAATTCTGTGCGTGTGCCCTCAGACACATAGAGAGAGAGAAGAGAGATGAATAAAGGGCCTTGTGTGGGAGCTGCGCTGCTCTGTGGGCTCCTCCTCTATTCAAACTCTGGCTTGTTCCCTTACTGTGGCCTTTAAGGTATACATCATGGAAAACAGATCAAACAGGCAGTGTCACCCTCTCACACACAGGCAAGTGCACAGATGCTGGAGCAGGGCATGTGTCGGCTGGTAATAGTGTGTTTGAAGGAATATGCTTACAGACAGAAAGGGAAAACGGTGAGGTGTTTACCTGCATTATGGATTCATACAGTTCGTGTGTGACAGGAAACAACATGCTCTGAACACACGTTTGGCACTGGAGACTACACATGTTTACTGACTCTGGATGGCTTGTGTGTATATGCACTAATGCACATACACACCCACACACATGCTCTGCAAAGCGCACACACAGGATTTTAGAAACACACAAATAACAGGAGTGAGTCATTTGGTGGTGGATCAAAAGGAAACAGAGAGAGAGGGAGAGAGAGAGCCACAACAGCAAGAGTGAATAGCACTAAGACTGGAAAAGTATTCAATGAGGAAGGAAAAAGAAGAGTGGAGGATGAAAAGGGAGGGGGGGGGGGGGGCCCATAG